TAAAGTTACACCTTCTTTCTTTGCGTGAACATTTGGGTGGCGTTATGCAAATCTTCCCACACAGTGATGTAGACATGTGGGGGCGTTTTTAAATGAGGCGTTTTAGGAGGGTGTGGACCAGTTTTAACTTTTATAAAGAATATCTCTTTGGGTTTGAGACTTTAGTCTTTGCAACTTTAGGGATCTTATGCACCAAGAGCTTGTAACACTCCAAAGAGAAAGGAAAAATTGAAATAGCATCATACGAACCCTTTAATTTAAAAATAAATGTAGCTTTTTATTTGTCTAATGTGTGCAGTTATAAATCAGCTAATTCAACTCAACTACATCCTCTTAACTCTTATAAAGGTTTTTGGTCTTTTTTGACCGATTTCATTTTTGTCAGGTTTTTTTTTTTTTTTTTACAAAATGGTTTCATGGTGGTGGTCAAAAATTGCTGACTTTTTTTTAGATATGCAATCTCTACAAAAAAAAAAAAAAAACTGGACTCACTGAGTCTAAGTGGTCATAAAAAAGTCAAACCTTGGCTGTCTGTGGTCAAAATTGCCCGACCATAGGAAATTAATGGGAAAGACCCTAAAGTGAAGCATTTTTAAAAAATGTGTTGAATGAAATCTATACATCAGCCACACTGCTGAACACACAAAAATGAAGGAGCAAGACTGTAAAACATCCAAAGTACAAAAGACCCCACCAACTTTCTAAGCATAAAATCTAGTATTCTTTCACAATAAATGACAATAAAGGTAAAAAATTTTTTTCAAAAGTTGGCAGCAATCTCACCCAAATACATAAAAATGTTCATATTTTCTTTGTTTCAACTTTCAGAAGTATATATTTTTACTGTAGTAAAGTTCCAAAAGTTTGCATATTTGCTTATACAAATGATGTTGAAAGAGAAATGTACACTTAAATTAGAAATGACCAAAAAATCACCTAAAAGTGCAAAATTTCATTGTTACTACGTCAGGGAAGTTAGTGTTGTGACATTCATTTAAACAAAAATGACAGCCAAAGTGTGACCCTTTTTTTAAAAAAGCTTAGGAGGGTTAAAAATGTCAAAATAATAACATTAGAAAATAATATCAGAAAACGGCCTTTTATGGTCTTTGCAGGTATTTGCAGGCTGAATAAACAAATTCCCACAACGGAAAACTATTTTGACAGAGACCACAAGAATATTTGATAAGGAAAAAAATATTAAGAGTTTTCTAAATGCCTACAAATCTGCCTGTCACTAGAAAAACAGACTAAACCATGTGAGTACAGATATCTGAACTAAGGCTTCTGTGGCTTCTGTGATATTTTGGCACAGTATTATTGTTTTCAGGACCCCTTGCGTATTGTGTCTACTGGCCCAAACTGCAAAACCCCCTCTTCAAAACCACTGACCTTGAGCTTTCATAAAGCAGAGGATTTGAAAGTAATTAATATGTTAATTAAACCTGACAGCCTTCCTCTGGTTTAATTCAAGTTTGTATTTATGCTGGTAGAGAGCCCAAATCTTTGTTTATCTTTGAGGGGAGTTTCCTAAACCACTTTCAGCCTTCTGAAAAGTCCGTGACCAATAATTTTATTAACCTTATTTTAATTTAACTTTTTGAAGAGATTTTTAAAAGGACGCATTTGTTTGTTTGTTTTACTTTTAACAGCCAGTGAAGGAAAAAAATTGCTGAAACAATATCAACAATAACACACAAAATCATTAACATTCAGTCCATTATGCAGCTTGCCTCATGGGACATTTTCTGTCAAGAGTTTGACAGCTTTCCCACAAAATACACAATGTCAGAATACAAAGGACACCATACAAAAGCTCTTAGCAGAGATTAGATGAATACAATGCAAGCTTAGGTCAAGAATTTAGCAATTCTATGTGCAAAATTTATTGACCTGATTCATTGCATCAGAACTGATTATGACAAAGAGCCATGACCTAATTCTTGTGGCAGCTAAATAAATGCAGTAATCACCATCCCAAGACTATAGTCAAAGAAAAAGCAGTGCTGACACAATGAAAACTTGTAAACTTGATACCAAGATGACAGCATGTCAGCCTGCAGGGTAAGAAAAAGCTTTAATGCCATTTCCATATGATCTCCATTATGATTTTACAATGTACAAGAGCTCTAGTTCTGCAGGATGTTATGGGAACTTAGGTTATACATTTGGAAAAGTACTGCAAATAATATAAAGTTTAGAATGATATAGACAGTGCATAATTGTTCCATAAATCACCCTTAACAGCAATATTAGTAATGCAACTTTTTGTTCAATGCAATTTTACCTGTGCCATTGACATGTTCAAGTATATGAAGAGTCCTGTGGTCGAAGCAACTTGAAGGACAATCACGATGACCACAACCGCTGTCACCCACAACCTGGATGGCACTTCGAGACGATTTTTGGACTGAACCATGATGAATGAGCTCGATTCGCTACTAACAGACTGTAAATATTCGGAGTTGCCTTCGGATGCGGCGCCATTCCTGTCGAATGACTCCAGCACGCTCTGAGGAGGGGCTGCAGAGTCCATGTCCATCTCTGAAACTATCTAAAGAAGTCTGCTTTTTACCTACCACCACGCACAAGAAGTCCGAGGAGATGAATAGGTTTGAATGACAAGAATATCATCTTATTGGCAAACTGTGGTTCCAGTAAGTCCTTCGAGTTTTAGCGACAATAGGTCGGAGATGTAGCTGTGAAAACACGCTGCCGCGCGGAATAACAGAGTTTGACGATAGACTGGCATACAATATCCGCTCTCCATCCTGCCTTCTCGGTTTTCATTTGACACCGCCTCATTCCTCCCATATTACCTGTATCATGTGCAATACACACTTTTCACTTGCAAGCGCTGTGTAGTAATAAAATAATAAAATAATTAGGCAGAATTAATCAAAATATTGTAGTACACTGACTGTACATCAGCGAGTGAGGGATAGTTAACCCAAAAATGAGAATTCTGTCATAATTTCTTCACCCTCAATTTGTTCCAAACCTGTATGAGTTTCTTTTTCTATTATACACAGGAGAAGATATTTTGAAGAATGTTGGTAACCAAACAGTTGACGGTAGCCATTGACCTGGTATTCCTTTCCATGCTGTGGAAGTAAATGCATGGCTACCATCAACTGTTTGGTTACAACAGTCTTCAAAATACATTCTTTTGTGCTCAACAGAAGAAAGAAACTCATAGGTTTGCAACTTGAGGGTGACTAAATGATGACACAATTTCCATTTTTGAGTGAACTTTCCCTTACGTAAGCAGTTTTAGCACGTAGTACAAGTAGTAGCCTACAAGTATTTTTTATAAATTTACATAAACATATTTAAACCTACATAGGCCTACTTTGTGGAGTAAATATGTATAATATCACATATTTTATGAATAGGCACATTGATTAGGTGAAATGTATTAACCCTGAGAAAAGTCCTTGATATTCATGAAATTATTGATGTTCGTTTTAAAATATATGTTTATCTAGGCTACATCCATCTTGGTTTGTTTATTTATTTATTTATTGAGCATGCAGGTATTTTCATTCTTAGAGGTGTGTTTTGCTGTATTTTGAATGGCAGATGAATGTAACAGCTGTTATTGCAAACACACACTGCTATCTCAAATGCGTTTTAATAACAAATGTGCTTTTTAAATATGTGGTTAGTCTGTGTTTTGCCTTATCTTTAACTAAAACTGTTGTAAAGGCACATTCTTACAACATGTTTGAACTTCTAGGAAATAAGGGGAAACATTTATTCAAATTTATTAAATGGATCATGTTTAACCAAATAAGAAATAAATCCTCAGTATAGTCATTTGGTCTAACAGGAAAGCATGAAGACTGGAATTTATACTTTCACCACTTGTTTGTTTACCAGTCGTTTCCTGCCTCGGTATCAGTAAGCTTATGGTCTGAACATCACTCTTTATAGAAGATGTTTCTAAATCAGAGCTACAAACAACAGAACTACAGGGGAAATTCATGCATAGATTGTGTTTATTTGATTTCCGGTTCATGGAGGATGATTGTATGTCTCTGAAGTTTAGATGATGGGGATGGGAGACAGATGTTTTGATTACTGGAGAGCAGCCAGTGGGTTAGAGCGGCCCCCTGATTCCCCACACCCACATACAACAGATTCACAGGAAGAGCCGAGAACAGCTGGAGAAGGGAAAGTCATAATAACAACTCATTTGCAAAGGGTCGAAAATATTAATTTCCCACTCAATGCAATGATCAACTAAAACCCAACCAGGTTTTTCATATTTTCATTAATGTTTCACTAAGATAATGTGCAGATATTTTAGCGTGAACATATTTTAACATGATACATTCTTCATGGAAAAATATGATAAAAAAAGGATTTGATTTATGGATTCTTCTGTTTTATCTTCGGATTTGACTTATGGATCCCCAAAAACGAATACGTCATGACGCAAGTCACGCAACACGTTCAATGAGTTGTGTTTCTGGGATGGCTCCCATCAAAATAAAACATATCGTCTCGTTTACATCACAGGTAAATATCTGATCGAAATGTCATGTTAACAGTTAGACAATAATGAATAAATCTAACTCTGACTCCATTTTGATAACTTTCATGAACATTACGTAATGATGATTTATATAAACTATTCTAGCACCTGTAACAGTTACAATATATACAAATATAACTTATATGAATAAAAGTTACTTATTTTTAACTACTTTAATGTGCATTACGTGAAGCTTAGCATGTTATAACTTTATGAATGTGCATTACATGATGCTTAGCATGTTTTTAAGTAGTGTAATAATGTTTCTAAATCTGATTAATGAAAGTAATTAAAGTGTTACCTCTAATAACCTTCTCTCTTGCATGACTGAATTGCAGGATAGTAAGAATGGTGTGAATAATCTGTGTGAAGACAGTAACAGCAGCAGACCGTGGTTGTGCAGTGTCCAGGACTGCAATGGAGTCCTCAGTGTGGAATTACAGATGGAGCGAGCATCTGCTGTAGGATTCATAAAATTCACCTACTATTATCTGATATGTATTCTTGGCGTATTAATGTTCACGATATTCCTGTCTTTCTTTGTAAAGACAACTGTGGCTCTGCGTTCATTCAGGTTGATGTCGGCCGCTCCTCCTGGTCATCAGACCATCCTTATGTCACCCTGCTGCCCACTGCAACACTCATGAGTCCAGTGGACTCGAAACAGGGCACTGGCCATCAAAATGTGAGCATGTTTAAAAAAGGTATAAAGCATGCAAATCCCTCACCTTTGCTACAAACTCAACCCTCTGCTATTCCTCACTTAGAGGTCGCATTTGTGATTCTCTGTGGTCAAAACAGACTAAAGACATTTTTTTGAATGAATGCTCTAAATTTTATTTCAATAATATTTTTACTGTAATATTTTGTATTTTGAGTGGATTTCATAGTACTAAACAATATTCATTTCTAAATGATGCATCATTTATTTCTATATAAAATAATGTAAATACTAGAAAAGATTTCATTAATGCAAAATTTAAGTTAAAAATAGGATACATTTATGTAATATCCAAACATGCAAGGCATTTGATATATATTTAGATATTTTCAAATACTACTGCATCAAGACTGATTAGTCAAAAAACTATATGTATTTTTGTACGTTTTTGTTTTTCCCATTCATTTCCTGTCATTTTTTACTGTGAAGATCACAAGTGTAACTGTTTTTTAAAGACCATTTAGCCTTTTCTAATCATGTCCACCTTGTTTTGTTCATAATGCAAGTGTGTAAGATTTAATTGTGTTCATTGGCATTGAAAGACTGAGGTAATGATTTAAATGTGTCCATGTCCAGTTGATTTTCTCCCTCAGGCTGCTGAGGAGAGCTGGAACAGACTGCGAGTCACCTGCACTCAGCCTTTCAACAAACGGTCACAGTTTGGTCTGTCCTTTCTGCGCATCCGCACCATGGAAGACGAGGCCGAATATTCCTCAGTGCAACATGAAGATACTGCTGCTGAAAATCTGGTGAGAGATTTGATGTTTTTTTTTTTAATTGTTGTGTTTAAAACAATCTGCCTTTACTTATACCATATATCCAGCAGCACAGCAACTTGTTTAATTGGGTTTAATTGTTAGGAACTGTTTCACAGTGCACACCAGAAAAGATGACATCCGTGATGGAGTGGCTTTCCAGTCCAGCTATCCAAAACACATTTTTTGGGCGAATCACAGGGTGTGTGTCTGACACTTAGTCTTTATTTCAAAGCTAGATTTGTAGTAGCATGATATTCAGAAGGCACTCTCTACTCGCTTTCAGGGATGTCTCCTCAGATCGCCAAAGGAATGCTGGGAGTTTGAGTCGGACAGAGCGCATGGTCAAAGCTGCCCACTCTAACAGACGCTCCTTGTCAACATCCCCCTGCAGTACTACATCCAGCACAACACCTCCGAGAGAAGATAACGTGAAATCCCCACCAGGCAATTTGTCTTTTGGACACCACACAGACAGAGTGGAAAAATTAATGCTTTTTATAATACTAATGTTGTTTCTGTCTTTACGGGCCGAATTAGGTGGATTTAGGACTTCCGGTGACCAACTAAAGGCCCCTCAAGAGCAAAGGAAGAAGTCAAAGGCACGGTATGAATTGAGAAAAAAAGTCTGATTTGAAGGATAGACAGATTGAGGTCTGCAGAGTTTTGTTTTGATTCTGACCACAAAAAGCACATTTGACAGTTTTTAAACCTTTGAAATTACTCAGTTTATATATTTGATATTATTATTTAATAAAAAAATAAAAACAGTAATATTGTGAAATACTACAATTAAAATAACGGTTTTCTAGTTGAATGCGTTTTGAAATGTATTTAATGGCAAAGCTGAATTTTCAGCATCATTACTCCAGTCTTCAGTGTCACATGATTTCTTATTATTATCAATGTTGAAAACAGTTCTACTGTTTAATATTTTTATGGATACTGTGATACATATTTTTCAGGATTCTCAGATAAATAGAAAGTTCAAAAGAAGAGCATTTATTTGAAATATATATATTTTTTGTAACAGTATTACTGTTTTTTATCACTTTTTCTCAGTTTAATCCATCGTTGTTGAACAAAAGTATTAATTTCTTTAAACCTTTTAACAATAATATTTTTATTTATATTTATTTATACAGTGGTGTTTACAACAGTGTCAGGATTTAAAAAACAACAACAAAAACATTATTTAAATGTATATGATATTAATTTGTTTAGACTAGAGTTATATTTAATGTAACAAAAACATGTTTTTCCATTGGAGAACTTTTGAAACAATCTAAAATTATGATGCATAACATGATCGTCAGGTTTTACACAAATTTATAGAGGTTATGCAGCTTGGGTGCTGATTTTATTAAAGCAAAAGAAGGAACAAAAATATTAAAACAAGAATGCTAATAATTAGTTAATTATTGTTAATAATTAGTGCACAATTTTCCACACCACAATCTGTCAAGCACATCTTACCAGCAAACATACACTCGTTCACATCCTTCTCCTCACTCACTGAGGCAGAAGTCTCCAAACTCATGTAGCGAATCAGCTCATGGGGAAATATGAATAATTAATCATAACTAGTTATAATTAATTATAAATATTTAGATCCGCTGTATTTTCTTTTAAAAAAACAACTAACACTTGCTTCTCTTATCTTTTTGCATTCTGTCTATTTGTTTTCTTTTTATTTATTATACGATTATAATTCTGACTTTCTGAATTTTTGATCAAATTTCTTAAATGAGAAAAGTGCAAAATACATTTTTTCACTAGTGGTCCCAGACTTTGTGGACTCTTTTGTATATATCTATAACTAAATCTATAACTCTATAATCTTTATATACCTGTGTATTTTGTATTCAATGGTGGTCATTCAGGCAGAGCCTTATAAACAGTGGCGCTCCACGGAAGAGATCCAGACCTACAGCTTCCACCCATGAACCCAGCTCAACGAGCCCACACAGAAGTGCCCACCAGGCTCCACAGGGCTCTCCTGAGACGAGATGTCCTCTTTGTGGAGGTAATGTGATTGTGTAGATCAGCAGCCCACTGTGGCTCATAATTTACTGCTCACAAGCTCTTCTTCTATTCCTTTTGCTTTATGTCCACATAGAATCCTTCAGTCCTGATTATCTGCCTTTCCATGCTTCCACCTGCCTGGATTCTGATTCAGCGGAGCTCATGGGAGTCAGGGAAACAGAGGTCATGAGCTCACTGTACTCATCTGCTTTTGGCTCTGGAGCAGATGAGCATATGGTTTCATGTCCTCTTTGCTCCTTCCGATTCCCCCCAGACCGTATCCAGCAGCACGCCAGCACCTATGGCGACACGGTAGAGCCAGGAACTGTGAGGCTGAACTGAGAGAAGAGCACTGTGGTCTCGGAAACCTTCTCAGAATAGCAACATACAAATAGAAATCGGGTATCCAAGGCTTTGGGCAAAACGGTGTTCAGTAAACATTGTGTATCCTACTGGCTTATGAATTTTGGAGAATACAGATGCCTCCCTAAAAAGACTGTTTTTTTATTGTTTTTAGAGGGAATTTATAACATTGGTCATTATGAAATGTTTGACTGGCAAACATGTTTTGGCTGTAAATATGTTTGTCGTCTTATCTGCTTTTCACTCTCTTTGTGATATCAATTAGAATGTTAAATTAAACCATTGTTTGTAATTGCTTACAACATCTTGTCATAAATATAAAATATATTATTTAGAAAGTTCAGATTTGTCATTTTACTCACTTTTTCAACAACAAAAATAAATACATCTTTTTGGTTTAAAAGTGATTACATATACAATACTGTTTAAATGTTAAGTCTCTTATGATCATCATAGCTGCATTTATTTGATCAAAAATACAGTAAAAACAGTAATACTTTGAAATATTATTAAAATTTAAACTGAATATGTTATAAAATGTAGTTTATTCCTGTGATAGCAAAGCTGAATTTTCATCTGCAATTTCTTCAGTTTTGAATCCTTCAGAAATCATTCTAATATGCTGATTTGGTGCTCAAAAATATTATTATTATTATCAATGTTGAAAATGGACGAGCTGCTTATTATTATTGTGGAAACTGGTAAAATTTTTCAGAATTCTTTGATGAATAGAAAGTTCAAATGAACAGCTTTTATTTGAAATCGAAATCTTTTGTAACATTTAAAAAAAATTTGATCAATTTAATGTGTCTTTCTGAATGAAAGTATTAATTTTTTTATAATATTTCCTAGGGCTGGGTTTTGACACAAATTTCAAGATTCGATTCGATTCTCATTCACAAGCTTGCGATTCGATTCGATTCAATATCGATTATTTTGGATATATATCAGGTACAGTAGGCTACATGCCAAATTTTCTCAAGGAAAAAAAATCAACTAATGCTGTAAAATATATAAGAGTCAGTTGGTACTACATTACTATAAGGTTAAAATTGACTTAATATACTTAATGAAGTTTTTAAAATACTAAAGTTACAATTACATAATAATATTTCTACTTCAATTAATTTGTTTGAAATATAAACATAATGGTGGCTGTCATAAAAACTTGATGGATTTATTCAAACATAAATAAACATTAAAGAACAGTAGAATGTATAATGAATATGTTATATGGTGCATATATTTAGCAAAATACCCCTCTTTACAGAAAACTGTTTTTTTCTATCTGACTAATGAGTTTATGGTCACCAAATATGTTTTTCTGAGGTAAATGTGACGTTACGTCTTATTGCGATTTATTGGATGGGATGTGCGCTTCAACGTTCAGTCCATTAACTGAAAACAGGCTACTGAGGCTAGACAAATCGATTCTTGGGATTTAAGAATCGATATCGTTCCGTAAAAATGAGAATCGATTAATATCGAGATATCGATATTTTTTACCCAGCCCTAATATTTCCTGATCACAAGCTTTTTAACTAGTGCATGAGTCAGGAAAAAACGCAATAAATATTTTCCTTTTTAAATAAAAAAGAAATATGTTTTTATCATTTATTTTAATAATTTATGTTATTAATTTTCAATTATAGCCTGAAACGCACACACACTGACCCTGTGTCATGGGGCCAGCCTTATTGTTGAGGCCTGATGTTAACAGAGGTGTTGAAAGGATCAAGTGCACTGCACTGATGGGGGAGTGGAAATTCAGAAGTCCTTAGTGAGCTCTAATGGGATGCAACAAAATAAAATTACGGTTTTTAATTGGTCGTATCCTTTGGGGAATTGTAGCTGTTATTTGGTTCAGAATGAAATCATTCACCCGTGTTTTTTGACTCCTCAGTGGTGGCAGACCAGTGGACTCGCTTAACTAGTGTCTTAATCACTCTTCTCAGATCAGGATTAGAGCCTCATAAAACAGCGTTACTTTTGAATTTTTTTAGAGGCTTTTGGAGCGGCTTTGTTTGCTTTTTGGACATCCAGTGAATATGTAGGACATCCATTGATACAATCTCACTGTAATATTTATATCCTTAGTGTGTCCGATGATGGAAAACCTCACGGTAAGAAATATGCATTGTTCCTTTTGAAAAATTATTTTGTGAATTTATTTTGTAAGCATGTATCAAGTCTTTGGAATTGACTATTTTTCAGACCTGATATTTAAGGCACTACAAAATTAGTAGTGTATTTTTCTAATCTATTAAATTTTTTCCATTTTGTTGTCACAAATTTTATCAGCATAATATATTGGGTAAAAAGTAAAAAATGTGTGTAGTGTATTTCATTAGTGACATAAAATGACAAAACAAAACCTTGCCACATATATATATATATATATATAAAATATCTCACATAACTAGAAAAATATATGTTTATTAAAATAAAAAGAAAAATGACTTTTGAGTCATTGTAATTTCCATGACTTTTTCAATATAGAAATCAAAAATTCCTTCCTATATTTTAAGACCATGAGAATATCCTGTTTCTTAAATTAAAATGGCAGTTGTTAAAGCAACCAGTTAAAGAAATATGCTAAGCAAATCTTGATTTTTAGCCGATTTGTCAAAAGTTTGTTTTCTCTCTCTCTTTTAAAATGATTTTAATGCATCGTGTGGCCCTCTTGGAGGTGTGTTGAGGCCCCCTAGTTTCCTACATGATGTTGAATCCCAAATTTTCAATATGGACTCTTCAATATGGATATTCAACATTTGGGCCACACTTCTTGATCTTTTATTTTAAATTAATGTATGTATAATGTGTGGCATTGCATAGTGCTTTAGTTTTTGGAAAATCAGACAGTGTTTGAAGCAGTGAAATGGTACAAGAAACAATATGTGAGATGATATATAAGAGTTTATTCAAACAGATGCCTAGACATCAGTCTTGTATTCCTGTGTTACAGATATTTTGGTGTTGCTGTGTATTAAAATGATTTTTATGTCCCCTATGAACAGCCAGAACAATGGCGCAAGATTGTGAACAAGAAGTTTCGCTTCCCTGCGGAGCTCCTCGGGGCCATCCGAGAGGGCAACGTGAACATGGTCTCTTCGCTGCTGAAGATGGGTGACGGCATCATGCGCCAGCTGGACGACTCTGAGGACAGGCTATGGAGAGAAGCGCTGAACTTGTCCATCCGACTGGGCAACGAGGACACCATGGACACCCTTCTCCAAGGGGTCAAGTTAGACTTCTGGCAGATTCACGAAGCTCTTCTGGTGGCTGTGGACACCAACCAGCTTCGAGTGGTCAAACGCCTCCTGGACCGGCTTGATCTCGAGAAGGGAAACAAGATGGATGTGCGCTCTTTCTCAATGGACATTTTTGACCACTCCATTGATGATTCCTAGTTTGCGCCTGGACTGAAACCACTGACACTGGCCTGTCAGAAGGATCTGTATGACATTGTGACAATGCTCAATCAGAAAGGTCACGAAATTCATTGGCCGCATAAAATCTCATGCACCTGTCTGGAGTGCAGGAATGGACGGCAATATGATTTGCTCAAGTTCTCATTGTCTCGTATCAACACCTACCAAGGAATTGCCAGCCGCGCTTACCTGTCCATCACCGCAGAAGATGCCATGCTCAGTGCCTTTCGACTCAGCCAGGATCTCCGCAAGCTGTCTAAAAAGGAACCTGAATTTAAGGTTGAGTAAAGCTTCACTTCTTATTACTATTTGCAAATCAAAGTCATGCAGTCCAAAAAACATTACTAAAATGTTAGAATCTGGCATATTTTTCTCAGCCACTGTCTCATTTGCTTCATTCAGCCTCAGTATCTTGCCCTGGAGCAGTTGTGCCAGGAGTTTGCCGTGGAGCTGCTTGGAATGTGCCGGAACCAAAGTGAGGTCACCACCATCCTGAACAGCCTTGGGGATCAGGATGAGGACAGCGAGGACGAGCTGGACCAGCAGGCGTTCGAGGAGGGCATTCCAAACCTGGCTCGCTTAAGGCTTGCCGTCAACTATAATCAAAAACAAGTAGGACCCCAAGCTTTAACCCCTCAAAACAAGAAAAAAATGCATTGCTATTTAATGCTTTAGCTAACCATTGTTTGTACTTCAGTTTGTAGCCCAACCAATCTGCAAGCAAGTACTCTCCTCCATCTGGTGTGGGAACCTTTCAGGCTGGAGGGGCAGCAGAACAGCCTGGAAGCTCCTGGTGTCTTCTGGGATCTTCCTGACCATGCCTATCCTTTGCCTCTTCTACTGGATCGCACCAAAGTCAAAGGTTTTTGCCTTCTACAAAAGCTTTCTACACTGTAAAATGATTTCTGCTGCTTGGTTAATTTACTTAAGGAATAGTTCACCCAAAAATGCAGAAGATTTACTCACTATCAGGCCATCCTAGATGTAGTTGAGTTTGTTTCTTCATCAGAACAGATTTGGAGAAATTTAGCATTACATCACTAGCTCACCAAAGGGTCCTCTGAATTGAATGGGTGCTGTCAGCGTGAGAGTCCAAACAGCTGATAAAAACATCACAATAATCCACAAGTAATCCACATGACTCCTTCAATTAATATCTTGTGAAGCAAAAAGATGCATGTTTGTAAAATACAAATCCATCATGAAGTTTTTTTTTTACCTTCTAAAGTCCTCTATCCATAATATTGCTTTCTCCAGTGAAAAGCCCATCTTGTCTGAATCAGGAGAGAAATATGCACAGATCAAGCAGCATTTACAGTATAAGTGAAAACAGTCCAAAACATTTCTAAACAAATATGTGGATTTTGATGTGAGAGAGCAACAGGGGATGGACTTTTTCACTAGAAGCATTATTATGGATTATGGGTTCACATTTTGACCAGAATTGACAGTTTAAAGTTAAAATGGCTTCATGATGGTTATGGATTAGGTTGTGGGTGGCTATAATAATTAAATTTAGAATGCATGTATGTTGCTCCATAAGGTTAGAGCAATAGCTTTAATAACAGTGACAGTGCAGTTACAAGAAACTTCATGCTTGTTCATTACAAACGATTGCTATGTTAACTACAGAAGCTTTTTAATCACAAAAACAATGAAGAGTTCCATACTATTCACTTTTAATACGTAATTGTGTAAAGTATTGATGAAGGTTGGGTAGACTTTACCTAATTTCTTTGTGTGCTGTACTGTAGCTGTCTAATGTAGGCAGTCTTTGCTTAACACATTGAAAGAAATCTATCCAAACAAATTGAGTGCAAATTGTTTCCTCAATTTCAGTTTCCTCAAATTTGGTTTCAATTCTAGTCAGTTCTATAGGTTTGATTTTACAGACTTTCTTCTATCCACTCATTCTCCAAAACGCTTTAGGTGGCTAGGATGCTGGAATCTTTTCCAGGGAAACACCCTGGACAGATGGTCCACCACAGGACTATTCTAGCAGACATTTTTTCTAAGAAGTGAACCATCTGTTTTTTTTCTCAGTTGGGGAAGACTCGGAGGATCCCAGTGATTAAATTCCTTCTCCATTCGGCTTCATATATGTGGTTCCTGATCACGCTTCTGGGGGAATCCATTGCCTTTGAAATGTTCACTTGTTCTATATTCCTTGTAATAAATGGAAATGGGTTATCTTACATATTGCAGACAAACTACTGTTCAAATTTTGGAGTCGGCAAGATTAACACTTTTAGTAATACAAAGTGTTGCATTAATTTGATCAAAACCAGAAAATACTTTTACATTGATTAGAAAACAGTATTTCACAATATTACTGTTTTGCTGTATTTCTTACCAACCTCAAACCTTTGAACAGCGGTCTATTTTTAAGTGTGCCTTACATGACCAAATACTTTTTGGCTCCATTGTATATACACTGTATAACTTACTTTGAGAGAAGCATTCTGGTTATTTGGACCTCTGAAACTGTAAATTAATTTGTAAATCATGTAGATTAAATAATTGTAGATATCACGTCATTAATAAAATCCATAGAGCACCATTTCACAATATTGTACTCATAATAAATATGCAATGTAAAAAGTCATCATAATAGAAATTAATTCCTATTAAAGCAGTAATTTAATCATTTGAACTCCATATAAAAACCCAGAATACATAGATGGAGAGATGGATAAAGAAATGTATGAGAGCACATTTATCGCCCCAGAGACCATATATACAGTGGGTACGGAAAGTATTCAGACCCCCTTAAATTTTTCACTCTTTGTGTGAGCCTCAACAGCGCGACCTTCATAGCAGAAATACACCATCCATTATCAGTCGCCGTTTACATTGAATGTAGGCTAATAAAGTTAGAAGAATCATTCTCGTGTTTCGATGCGTCGCTGGTTATTTTTTTTGACACTTGTGTTTTAATCAGGCTAGTTGTCCGGTCGGGAAAGTTAAAAAAAACATTTTAAACAAGCTAGAAGGCTGATCAGCTGTAGGTTCGACCTATATTATTATTATTGAGAACATTAAGGTAGTTTGACCTGTATTCTGCTACTGCGTTTCTCTCTGATGATGCAGTAAACTTACCTCAGGGGAGAAAAAAAAAAACCTTCGGTCTGTCCAATGATTGTAAACAGTCATTAGGTCCGTCAGACTTGAGATATTTTAGCAGTAATGTGACCAAAAATATTTAAGACCCATCGAATCTGAATTTAAGACATTTTAAGGCCTTTTATTAGGAAAACGTTATTTAAGACTTTAAGGACCCGCGGACATCCTGAATTAATTACAGAATTTTCATTTTTGGGTAAACTATCCCTTTAAGATACATCTCAAATATTTTTTAGTTTAAAGCGTGCTCACCGCATTGGTCTCCACTCGCTTCATGAAGAGATCAGGGATCCAGAGGGCATAAAACAGATCTCTAGCTCGCTGTTCCTCTTTACCAGTATTCTTTTTAAGCTCTAGGAAGTCAAAAATGTCAAAATGCCAGGGCTCCAGGTACATAGCAAAAGCTCCTGGTCTCTGAGTGAGGAGGAGAGAGAATGTCAGTTTTACAAGCCAAACTTAAACCACCTCCTGAAAATCATATGCAAAACACCTTACCTTATTTCCTCCTTGGTCCACATAGCGTGCTGTGTTGTTGTAGACACGGAGCATAGGAACCAGGCCATTTGAGTTGCCATTAGTCTAAAATAAAAAAACAATAAATTAACCCAACTGCTAAGCATAATACCAGTAAATCTAAAGCTGAGGATGGAGAAAACTCACCCCTGCAATGTAGCTTCCAGTAGCTCTAATGCAGCTCACTGCCACCCCGATACCTCCGGCAGACTTAGAAATGAGGGCACACTGCTTCAGGGTGTCATAGATCCCCTCAATACTGTCATCTTTCATAGCAAGCAGGAAGCAACTAGACATTTGACAAAACAAAATTGCTTGTATTATACATTATGCACAGAAGTCTATTGACTTTGCTAACACCAAAGTCAGGCCTTGGCAAAAAAACCACTGCCCTCTTGTGTCTGATTGCTGTATAGTGATTGTTTGTTTTCCTACCTGGAGAGCTGTGGCCGGTTGGTGCCGGCATTGAAGAGTGTAGGAGAAGCGTGAGTGAACCACTTCTCAGAGAGCAGATTGTAGGTTTCTATAGCTGCCGCAATGTCCTCCTTATGGATTCCCACGGACACTCTCATCAGCATGTGTTGTGGCCGCTCAGCGACTGAAAACAAAGTGGTCAAGATGTCACAGGAACATTTTTGCATTTCCATCATTCACGTCTTTGCTCTTCTTCCACTCACTTGCATTTGCTTCATTAAAATTGTCATCTACCTCTCCCATTTTCGTCTTTACTATATAGTGTTCTATTGCTCCATTACTTCCTCATCCTCTCCGTTTTGTTGTCTCGACTGGACTGACTTACCCTTCCCATTGATCTTTAGCAGATAGGAGCGCTCCAA